TATATGCCTGTAAAAGCAAAGTTAAAGACCAAACTCTTGGTATGAGCTAGACTTTAGATTCTGATAAACTTTTCAGGAGAGTTAAAATTCCTATATTTTAGAAAAGTCTAATTGATAGTGTCAAATAATTTTACTCGGTTAATGAAAAAACTATATAGTCTGAGACACCAGTTTATTGCTTGTAAAACAAACATGGATGAGAATGTGTAATATCTTAAAGCAATAATTCAATCCTACAAGTGCCTCAATGTCACCAAGAGACAACCACACAAGAAGACTCTGGCTAAGTTCTTTTTAGCAACCAGGGAATTGTCTTTTACTTCTTTAGGATGAATTACATTATATTTCATGAAGTATATAAGCTAATGTTCTCAGGCATGTGGATTATGATAAAATTTTGTCAAACATCTGTTCTCATTTAAATACCACTTTGTATGTCATAGTTTTTTTTTTTTTTCAAAATTGTATTCTTGGGCCTCCCCGGTGGCGCAGCAGTTGAGCGCTGGGTTGCGAAGCTGCCCGCAGCCTCTGCAGCACCGGTTCGATCCCCAGCTGCTCCCGGCCACCGGAGGAGGGTCCCACATGGCGCGCAGACCTCTCCTGCTGCCCGCTGATCCCCTCAGCAGTGTACTTCGGTCCTTCTGCCTGCTCTGCTCCCTGCTCTGGCTCTGGTGAATTCTCTCACCCTCCCGCGCTTCTGACTGTACCCAGTGCTTGTATAAATAAATAAATAAATAAAATAAAATCTTCAAATCCTTAAAAAAAAGCCACATACCTCAATAAAAAAAAAAAAAAAAATTGTATTCTTCAGAAAATATTGAATTTCTAGTGAAATGATCTGCAAGTTTCCTCCTGAGAAAACAGCAAAGGTAGCACAAGCAGATAGAATTGTAATTGTACTGTTTTAGAAGATTTATTTATCTTTTCATCTTAGAAAAAAAATCAATTGAAGAATTAACATTTAACAAGTGAAGAAGATAAAATAAAAAGGACAAAATAGTATACCATGGAAAATCAGAAAATAATAAACTCGGTTTTGATCTTGATTCAATTCATGATTTAATTTGCTTTTTCAAGTAGGTAACAGTTTAGTTACAATCACATAATTATGTGACTTCAGGTATCCATTTAGCACAATTGTTAACAATTAAATTGTAGAGGGTAAGTATACATAAAAGATAAAAATACAAACCAAATTAAAATAAACATAAAAATATGTATTGAAAATAAAACAAAAAATATAAAAGTCTACACAAATTTTTTATATATAGGCCATAGAAATTTACATGAATAACCACATAATTATACATGTATGTGTTTATAAACACACGCATACAAGTATTTCATGAATAGATAAAATGGAATTTTAACAGGATTGAATCAAGATTTTGAAGACATAGAAATAAATCTGCTAGCAAAAGCCTCTCCAACCCACCCCACCTCCCTATGTAACTCCTGATATCACTGTAGCTTGAGCTCAAGCACTTGTCTCTCCTGGAGGGCCCACTTCTTTAACATGACAGAGTGACTTGAGGTGTTCATGGTAAAGACTCTAATGATTTTAGATGCTCAACCACAAGCTAAACCTGAGAAGATTAAACTTTGTTTGACATAGTTTTAGTTTTCAGAACATTGTATTATACTCTTAACTCTTTCACCATAGGGAAGTATTACAGGCTTCAGCGAATGACAATATTATATTACACTAATAAGAACATCTCTTAGCGTAACGATTTCCCCCAAATAAGAGTTTATTTTAACGACCTAACCAATGGTGAATGTTTTGTCATTTCTTTTTTTTTTTAAGATTTATTTGTTTATTTATTTATACAAGCACTGGGTACAGTGAGAAGCGCGAGAGGGTGAGAGAATTCACCAGAGCCAGAGCGGGGAGCAGAGCAGGCAGAAGGACCGAAGAACACTGCTGAGGGGAGCAGCGGGCGGCAGGAGAGGTCTGCGTGCCATGTGGGACCCTCCTCTGGTGGCCAGGGAGCAGCCGGGGATCGAACTGGTTTCGCAGAGGCTGCGGGCAGCTTCACAACCCAGCACTCAACAGCTGCGCCACCGGGGAGGCCCATGTTTTGTCATTTCTCTTGACTCTATACTCATGTCTCTCCAGTTCTGCCAACCCCAATTCCACCATAGTTTAAAGTACTGCACAGCCTTATCTTATCCAAGTGCCTACTATCTGCTTTCCCCACAGACACAACTGAATTGCTTTCATCCATTCTCCACATCATGACCAGCATTACCTTCGCAAAATAGATATCTGATCAGGTCACCCCTCAGGTCAAAACCCTTCAAAGACATTCCATTGCTCTTAAAAGATCAAAATATAGGCCTACTATGGGCCTCCCCAATGGCGCAGCGGTTGAGCGCTGGGCTGCAAAGCTGCCCGCAGCCTCTGCAGAGGGTCCCACATGGCGCGCAGACCTCTCCTGCTGCTCCCAATGCTCCCCTCAGCAGTGTACTTCGGTCCTTCTGCCTGTTCTACTCCCTACTCTGGCTCTGGTGAATTCTCTCACCCTCCTGTGCTTCTGACTGTACCCAGTGCTTGTATAAATAAGTAAATCTTTAAAAAAAAAAAAACAAAAACAAAATACAGGCCTTCTACTCTAGACCCTGCCACACCCACTACAACTCTGAAGCTCTCCTGTTCTTTCTCTGTTCTGAGGTAATATACGCTCTCCTTTAATTCCTTGAGTATATGCTGTACTCATAATTTAGAGCAAATTACAGACATACCCTCTGTCTCAAATAGTTTTATACTGCTACTACTCCCATCTTTTACCTACTTAATTCTTATTGATCCTTCAGATTTCAGCTTAGACAAGTCTTTGGCCATGTACTCTCAATACATCAGGTATTTTGTATATGGGGATTAATCTGATAAATGTTTGTTTCTAAGATATAAGTTCCATGAGGCAGGGACAACATCAATATTTCTCTCTCTTTTTTTTTTCCTAGACAGAAGAAAATCAGAAATAAAAGAAATAAACATAATAAACTTGCTTAAGGACTACTCAAGTTCACTGTGCATTCATTAAATTGTTTCTTTAAACTGCTGAAATTCTACATGCTTCTTTTCATAAAGCATATACTTTTAATGACCACCAAGCCTCTCCTGGAAGGTTCAGAAAATGACTCAACTTAAAGTCATTAAGTGACTTTCCATAGCCTCCTGAGAAGTTTCTGCACAAGCTTGGCCAGTAAGCAATTGTTAGCAGACACATGCGCTCCACATCACTGCCTTTTAATTTAAATTTCTTTTTTTTTAAGGAGGTGTTTTTAATATCATTGGATGTGTAGAAATCTGTTCTGAATTTACATAATTTAAAATCAGTCTTAAAAGTCAGTGTCTTATGAAGAACACAGGGTTGGTGATGGTTTACAACATTTTTCCCTCGACAAGAGACCAACCCTGGGAAAAATAAAATATCCCAATTTTCATTAACGAAAACAGAGCTGAACACACAACTGTAGCTGCTGAATGTTACTGAAACTGCCAGGAAATTCTAGAAGCAAAAACAAGTTTGGGCTGGCACGTTAACATCTCAAAGACAATCCTGAAATATAAAACCATGGAATTTCTAAAGTTAATGTCCACTTTTTGTCAGTATTTACCTAGGTACTTTGTGTTATATATTACAGAAGAGATTAGAGAAATATTCACTTTCCAAAGCTCCACTTCACCAGATATATGCTCTACTACCTATTTCGTCTCCAACTTTTTGAGATATACTTGAGGCTTATTATTCTATTTACTAAAGATAATGATCCTGCATAATTCCTCTGTTTTGGGAGGATCAACCTGAATAAAATTTACTAGCTGTGTATTTATGCCGAGGAAGTCTCTGACTGCAATCCCCAAAGCACTTCCCTTTCTCTGTCCCCTTACTCATTTAACAATTGTTGAGAATCTACTACATGACAGATATTTTTTTCTTTTTTGTAGAAGTTTATGAGTTAGTGGGAATCCTAGGAGGATAAGCAAAGCAGATACATACACTATAGATATGCAGACACTTTACTACAGGTGATTTCAGATTTTTCTTAGGGCAGATATCTGGGGATCATCTGCCTGGGCATCTCATTTGGTGAGAACCAAACCTGCTTTTCACCCAAGTCAGATTTGTTCAACTTGCCTCAGTTCTTCCTTCCCCACATACCTGCAAGGTTCAGGTATGCTGGGAGTGCTTAGAAAGACCCTAAACTTCATCACCTTATCCCTTTTAGAGACTGGACCTCATGGTGTTTCTGAACTTTTGGAGTTTTACCACCACAGGGTATAGCCGAGAACTAAAAGAATGCCATTCAACTTTCAAAAAGCAAACAATATATACATTCTCTTAAGATTAAAAGTTAAATCATCATAGATTACTGTACGTTATGTGTTATGAAATCAGAAAGAAGGCAGCTCCTTGAAAGAAGCTTGGTAATTTTGCACAAAGTAGGGAATTAGCAAATATTGGTTGAATTGTTGAACACATTGCCATTCCTCATGCTAAGCCATGAAAACTGGTGTGTATCTAAGCTGGAGTCTGGTATTTATTTTGAAATCCAAGAAGCCAAGTTGTCAATATAAATTGCTCTGTCCTTGCACAGAATCTAAACACTTTTAGCCAAGAGCAGTAAACCCACACGAGAAGAGGGTCCATGAAGAACACAAACAGCAAAACTGAGCAAAGTAAAAGTCGTCTTCTGTGGGGGACCTCTCTGTCCCATATTCACACAGGTTGCAATACTTCCTTCTTTGCACCGATTATCTGCTAGGTACTATTTGATTGCTTGGGATGCATCACTGAAAACAATCTGACTTTCTACCTCATCTTTCCATTCAAGGTCTTTTCCCCGAGTACCCCGTGCCTGGAATTATAGTCAACACTTGGAAGAAGAAACAAGGCATAACATCTCTCCAAAAGCAAAGTTGTTTATAAAGATGCTAAGATTAGAAAATAAAATTAGGAAAGTGGAAAGTGTTCAGGTACCATCTAGCTTACCTTGTAATGAGTTGAAGATGGCAAAGAGGTACATCATAGGGACACTTAATGGTTTCCAGGCAAAGAAAGCGAATCCCCACGTCATGCCCAGCAGGAATGTCAGGCTGACTACACTGCGCAGGTTCCTGAGAACTTCTTCACGCAGGGTCCGGTTGCTCCTCTTGCCATTCCTCCCACAGATTTGCACCATGACCACGATGAACATGGCCACATTCAGGAAAAACATGACTCCAAAATAACCGGCACAGCTCACATAAAATACAAAGGGATCCAGAATCCAACAGCTTACAGGAGAAGAAGAAAAGGAGGGATGAAAGGAAAGATTTAGTCACTTTATTTTCTTTTTAAATAAAATTGTTTTACATCCCTGTTAGTATTTTGACAGTATAGGATTTCTCCCCTCAGGTGTGGTCACTGTAGCTAGAGAGAGAGATTTAGTAGCATGTCCTGTTTACATAAGGTTCTCCGGGCTCAGCTGGGACTTCTGCGGGTATCACTTAACCTCTAGGCCACCAGGGAGGCCCCAAGGTAGCTTCTTGAGGTCTGCATGGGATGAAGAATGTCAGTCAGTAGGCTCACCCAAAATACTGTTAAGTGCCTTTTCTTTTATGTGTCTGCCCTCCAGTGAAAAGGAAGCATAAGTATTCATTTTCTCAATCTCCTTTGGATGTAAGGGGTTTAACAAAGTAATATGGAAGCAGAGTCCACTAAAGAAATTTTGGGGAGCTAGTCTAGGTGGACTCAACCAGCAGGCTCTTATTCCTTCTTCCTGCTTCAAACTTGGAAGTGAGCGTGGCGCTGCAGCAGTCACATTTTCAACCACAAAATCAGCCCAGGTTGTTGCCCACTTCACATTTCTTGTCATGTGAGGAAGGTAAATTCTTCCTATGCACATATAATTGTGCATTCTGTTACTGTAGACAAAATAATTCTTATGAATATAATTGGTATAGAGGTGGCAAGATTTTATTGAGGATCAAGGATATTCTTCTACTGACAGTTTTGTACAATTAAAAGGCTACATTGTTTATAACTTTGTTCTAAGTTGAGGAAGGATGTACTTGATATTCTGAATGATACATAAATCTGAAAAGAGATGAAAGTAATTTTAAAACAGCACTATGTGTAAGGTATACTATGAGTCACATTAATAAATGCTGCTATTTTAGATTCCATCAATATTACCTAATTAATATTATGGAGATATGTAGGTGCCTCAAAAACTGGATGACTTACTGAAATCAATAAATTCATCCTAAAATCCTAGTATAAATGATCATCATTCTGGGTCCGCTTTTCACACTGGAGCATGACCTCACAATGGCAAAAGATATCTTGAAAAAAGTCTTTAAGTTCTATAACCTGATTCCTAGCATATAGTCAATTCTCAGTGTGAGAGAGGACTGTACAACTATTTACTAAATTTACTTGATTTTTTTAAAGATTTATTTATGCATATAAGAACTGGGGTACAGGCCAGACGTGCAGGAGGGTGAGAGGATTCACCAGAGACAGAGCGGGGAACAGAACAGGCAGATCTACTGAAATACACTGCTGAGGGGAGCAGCGGGCGACACAGTAGAGGTCTGCTGCACCACAGCTCCCTGCAGAGGCTGTGGATAGCTTCACAGTGCTGTGCTTATACCCTTGTGCCACCAGAGAGGCCCTAAAAACCAAGAAGAATTGACTGACATACTTGTAAAATTTCCTTACTTAGACTTGTGCGTTTACTTCTATGTCTGATATATTTTAATTGTAAAGGTCCTCAAATTAATACCGCTTGCTTGTCCTGGAGTTAAGTTTTCTTTACATATGTGAATTCCTTAAAATCCTTACATTTATTTTCTACTAGCTCTTGAATGCTGCTTTTGACTATGAGAGGCTGTGAGGGAATGGACAGAGATTGGATGTGGACTGGGTAGTCAAGTATTCTCCAACCAAGCAACAAGCACAGAGATGTGCCTCCCAGATCTCATCTCAAGATGAGACTCATTCAGTAACTCTTTCTTTTTTTTTTTTTAAGAGGCACGTATTTTATTCATTTATTTATTTGTTTGTTTGTTTTTGTTTATACATGCACTGGGTACAGTCAGAAGCGCGGGAGGGTGAGAGAATTCACCAGAGCCAGAGTGGAGAGCAGAGCAGGCAGAAGGACCGAAGTACACTGCTGAGGGGAGCAGCGGGCGGCAGGAGAGGTCTGCGCGCCATGTGGGACCCTCCTCCAGTGGCCGGGGAGCAGCCGGGGATCGAACCGGCACTGCAGAGTCTGCGGGCAGCTTCGCAACCCAGCGCTCAACTGCTGCGCCACCGGGGAGGCTCTCAGTAACTCTTTCAATTAACATACATTTATTAAGTACCCAATATGTACTAGATAAAACAGGAGAGAATTGCCAAATTTGAACAATATGAAGATCTTAGCCTCAGTGATCTGAGTCTAAATGGAATTTTCCAAGTTATTCAAGTGCTTGTGGAGTTCCTCCCTTCTTCCCTCTCTCCCTCACAACCTTCTTCCTTCTTTCCTTCTTTCTTTCTTAAAGATCCAAAAGGGAAGGTTTAGGGCCTCCCTGGTGGTGCAGGTGGTTGAACGCAGTGCTGTGAAGCTGTCCGCAGCCTCTGCAGCACAGGTTCAATCCCAGCCGGCTAGGGAGATACCCACATGGTGCAACAGACCTCTCCTGTCTCACTCTCTACTCCCCACAGCAGTGCATTTCTTCATTCTGCCTGTTCTGTTCCCCACTCTGTCTCTGGTGAATCCTCTCACCCTCCCGCGCCTCTGGCCTGTACCCCCCATTCTTGTATAAATAAATATTTTTTTAAAAAAGGGAAGGTTTAGTATAAAAAAGGAAATTCCCTATCTGGCAGGGCACTATGTTCATGTGGAAAAGCATCTCAAACACTTCGGGGCAGTCAATTAAACTCATTGGTAGTGGAGCAGAGACCTTGACAAGAGCATGCAAACACATTTCAACCTTCCAGAATAAGAGGCCCACTACTGGCATGGAAACATCTATTAAATTTTAGCAAATGATATTTAAACATCACAAATCAATTTCCAATCAGGCTGTATTACTTACAATTCACCGCCTTCTTCTATTCCATAACTTTTTCTTCCATAGACTTTATTTTTGCCACTGCTCACTAGTACAATTGACACAACTAAGGCCGGCAAACCTGTTATAAAAAGATCATATATATATATAAACAACTTCTCAGGATCGCCTGAAGTGCCTTATAATACTGGTAATAGCAAGAAAAACAATAAATAAACCATTTCATATTACAGAATCAAATTTCTTAGACCTGGCAATTTGATTAAAAACAAGAAAATCCCTTCTTTGATAAGGAACCTCCCAGTCTAATCAGCAATCATCAAAACATATTCTTTAATGACAGCTATTTTAATCTTCTGTTTGATTGCTGATAACCAATAGAGAACCAAAAACCTGACTTCAACTGAAGTCAGCACCAGAAAATGTGGTCTCATTAATGATGTCTGGTGGACTGTCAGCGTTCAGGAGGTAAGTTATTGCCACTTATTTTGTCCCATTCTGTATAAAGAAAAATCTAGGAAAAGTGGAGGAAAACAATGGGGACTTAAACGCTTCATAGTCTCCCTTTTTTCTATAAAAAGAATCAATCAAGGCCTCCCTGGTGGCGCAAGGTGTTAAGATGCAACCTAAGAAGTAGTCCGCAGCCTCTGCAGCACGAGTTCGATTCCCAGCAAGGGAGCAACCCACACGGCACAGCAGACCTCTCCTGACTCACTTCCTGCTCCCATCAGCAGTGTATTTCAGTCAATCTGCCTGTTCTGTTCCCCGCTCTGGCTCTGGAGAATCCTCTCACTCTCCCGCACATCTGGCCTGTACCTCAGCTATTGTATGCATAAATAAATATATCTTTTTTTTTTTTTAAATAAAATTTTTTTAAAGATTTATTTATTTTTACAAGCACTGGGTACGTCAGAAGTGCGGGAGGGTGAGAGAATTCACCAGAGTCAGAGCAGGGAGCAGAACAGGCAGAAGGACCGAAGTACACTGCTGAGGGGAGCAGCGGGCGGCAGGAGAGGTCTGCACGCCGTGTGGGACCCTCGCTGGAGGCCGGGGATCGAACCGGCGCTGCAGAGGCTGTGGGAATCTTTGCAACCCAGTGCTCAACCACTGCACCAAAATATATCTTTTCTAAATATATCTTTTCTAAAAAAGAATCAATCAATAATTATTTCCATGTGTATGTCAGCGGGCAAAAGCTAATTCTAACCATCCAAACTTCCTGAAAGATCCATTTATTTGCTCCTACTGTGGTACTGAACACCTTGGAATGTCTCCTACTTCTACATTGCTCTCTGAAAAGAACAAGGTCTAAAATGCCTGGTGCAATATAAAACCCAGATTAAAAAAAAAAAAAAGATTAAAAGATCCCAAAAAGGCAAATACAACCATCCACATCTGTCTGAAGAATGTTAAGAAGTTCAAGTCAAGAATTCTGTCCATATTCTGGTTGCACACACATACACACTATTTCTCCCTCTTGTTCTAAGACATGGGCATGCATCTAGGGTGAGTATAGTTAGGATTCTGAGGAGGGTTTCAAATTTTGAAATACAATAGAAATGCACCACTATCCACAGTTGCTTCTCCAGACTCGGGTGGGCTGGCTCTGGGCAAAGGAAATAAGTGGTGACTCAAGAGTTGAACATTTTGCCTTACTCCTGAATATGTTGAAGGCTATTGAATGGTTTTTAAAAATCCTGTTCTTCCTTAGGATATGTATGTCATGTCCACATCCTTTGCAATTTAGAAGTAGTTTCTAGCAGTTTTATTCTTTCAAAATAGGATTTTCTTACCAAAAACTGACAGCTGCCCATAATAGTTAAAACAAAACCAAAACATTTTAGAGTCTTACCCCAGCCAATGATGCAGAATTTCAGTATATATCGGCGGATGTAAGTGTTAAACACTTTCACCAGGGCAATGTACATGTGAATGGCTTCCAGCCCCATCCAGGTAAAGGTTGTTAGGAGGAAGAAATGCAGCAGGGCAGCCACGGCAGTGCAAAGCCCATCCATCTGGAAGGAGGCGACCCAGCCATCCAAGAGGAAGAGAAGGTTCAGGAACAGCAGAGCTGTGCTCAGGTTCATCAAGATTTTGGAGGGATAATCCCTTCGCAATTTTCTAAAAAAGAAAGAAAAGACATACAAGAACTAACCCTGTAAATAAATCACTGAACCACAGGCAGTAATGTCTTACAGAGCTTGGCAATGCATTAGAATCTTTTTAGGCCATGGTCTCACTAGGAGGAGGGCTTTGGAAAGTTATAAAGATTTTTTTTAAATATTATTTTTATTTCAAAACTGCTTCTAATTGTTTATGAAAGTTTCAACTGAATGACTTTTTTAATCCAGGTAAACTGAGTTAGAAAGTTGATATTTTTGTTAAAAAACAATTTCCCTAGTACATTTCCAACCTTCTTGATTTTTAATGAGGTAAGGATCATTTTTGAATGCTCTATTTCAGAATTCATTTTATAAAATTTGTGAAGCAAGTGATTTTGTCTTTTACGATCATATAAAAAGCATTTTCGACAATATTTTTAAATGTTAATAATCTCTAACATTTTTAAATGCATTTTGAGAATTAGAAATACAGTAATTTTAAGATAAGATTCTAGAGCTGGAAAATTCATATTGCACGATGCATCTTCAGAGAAACCTTAATATTAACATTGAACCACCCTACGTGAATCATCACAAAGAGTACAAATGTTTTTAAAAGAAGAGGCAGTTTTCTTATTCATTTTGGAACAGTTAGCACTTGGTTTGGCAGTTAGAAAAATACTTACTCAAAAGCAATATAAGTCAGGAGAGTTGCTGCTGAAAAAATAGCAGATATGCCACACCCAACGTAAGAGATGAAGGTCAGAATTTTAGTGTTTTTTGCATCCATTTGTGAGGCAGATCCTTGAAGATCCTACACAAAAGATGGGAAGTACCTATAAGAACGTTTCTTTTCATGAGAAAGATGTATCAGAAAGCTCATGCTAGCATAGGAGCAACTCAATCTTAGGGGCTAGTAGCAATAGTGTTAATCAGTGTGGACACTTCCATTTATTGTACCCTTATCCATCACTCCATGAAACAAAATTACAGCATTACTGAAGGAGCAAGCCAAGTTGTACAAATGGTTACCTTGTTATCCAATCTCTTTGCACACCAGTATAAGGAGAAGAACAAAGCCACTGACCCCCGACAGAAAGAGGGGAGAATAAATGAGCAGGGCCACCCTTAACATTTGTAGGGTTGGGGGCACAAATACAAATGGAGGTTAGTCTGGTCCACACAGCCAAGTCCTTGGGAGGGTCCTACGTCCTGTAGGTAGGGGCTCAGCCAGCAGACGGAGGTGGGTACTGGCACTGAGGGTTTCGGGCTCTGAGCTTGGTACTGAGGCTTCTGTGATCATTTCAAAGATTGGTATGTAAGGGGAGGGTTATAGTTTGAGGGTCACAGTTTTGTAATCCTTATGGACTTGAAAGGGCACCAATTAAAGTGTTAGGGTTATCCTGGAGTGGAAAGACATAAAACTTTCTTGCATATTAACATAAAGTATTAATTCCACCAGGCAGAAACAAATTTGTAAAGTATGGGCCTGGTAGGAAAATCTTTTGTTCCCTCCTTATATGGGGTATTGGGACAGGGATAAATGTTGAGTTAAAGACCAGTTACTCAGTCTTGGCTGGAGGAGAAAGGTCTCTCCATTATGCACATAATGGAAAGTGGAGCCTTCTTGGAGAAGACACATATTTCAAAAGGCAAATTCACTGAAACTTTTAGGTCTTATATTATGAAAAAAATAGCACCCATGTTTGTTTGATCTTTTTCATTCTCTGTGTTAATTTTCTTTAATTTTCACCAAAATGTCAGTGAAATCGGCAGCTCACACGAAGGCCTCCAGTGTGTGGGGATTGTCTGTGAGTGAAATTGAGACAAGGGACTCACTTTCAGGTTTGGCTGATGCAGTAACAGTAACATTGAGGTAACAGCACCTCAGTGACACAAAGAAATGTACAAAGTGACTGCCAGCAAGAGCAAAGGGGACTTTCCGTATCTTCCTCATCCTAGAATCCCTTAAAACATTGGAAGGATTTGGCACCCCCATGGCACAGGGGATGGGGCTAGAGTCAGTGACACTGATGCAGAACATTTTGGTTACTCCAGAGACATGGTCTAGAATGATAAATGACCTGTCATTGCCTCTTGAAAACCTATGGCTGTTATATAAGTGAAGTAGCTGATTTGCAAAAACACAATGTCATAATTTAAACTCTAATTAATAAAATAATGATATTTACTGATGCTTATTCACACATAATTCCTACACAGTTTTGTACTGTTAGAGGATGAAGAATATGAAAAAATTTTCCCCTTAAACGAGCCAATATGAAAATGTACTAATGTTAAAAAATGAAAATCAGTTTTACTACAAAAAATATACCAGAGGACATTAAATGTATGACACATTTTCAGACTGGAAGACCTAGTTATGGGCTTGGGTTACACATTTGTAGCTTCTCAGATGGTGGGTGTAGACAGTGAGAATATCTTATGCAAGAGAACAAAGAATTTGAAAGTCAAGAGAGACTCTTTAACAAAGTCCTGGTGGTCTGGAAAAGCTGAAAGGATGGAGCATGCTGCCAGAAAGGATACACTCTGGAGTTTTCATCCAGCAGTATAAAATGCTGCAAATGTAGCCAAGGTGGGAAATGGAAGGGGAGCATCGAAAATGTATTATCACTTCACAGACATGAAAAACTGTTTAAATCAGATGGCAACAGAAAAAATAATAGTTACAAACTCATAGTGAAATGTAAACAATATATGAAGAAACGGACCACCCCAAATAGAGAAGTCAACCTTTGTATATAAAACATCTCTGAACAGTGAACTGTGTTCGTGTTAGCTATTATTGAACTTAAAATCACGCTCAAACACACATGTGCATGCACACACATGACATACACATAGTTGAAATACACAAACTAAGCTAAAGCTTCTATACCTTATATGAGTAATCATGTAAAATATGTGTTCTTTTAAAAAAATGCCTGCTGTCACATCACTTCTGGAGAAAAGAGAACATGAAACAAAATTGAGGGTTTTTTTTCTTTTAATTACTTAGGGAAAACATATTATTGTTTAATTGTTCATTTTCATGCTCTAGCAGTAAAGAAAAAATATCTAGAGTCTGAAAAAGTTACATAATTATTTTCTCTGACTGTTACTTTTTAAATGACTTGTTCTTATGCCTCAGGGCATTGAAGTACTGGCTTGTCAGCAAAATGACAACTTGCAGGCTTACCTAGGACAATAGCCATTTACACGGGCCATGTAGATTTCTGAGCCAAGTACTACATCCCACAGTTCCTCACTGCTTCCTCTCCACAGGAAGCCCCGAAGGAAGTGGGGGTCAGATTAAAGGGAGGGGATAAACACAACTCGATGTCTGTGATTCGAATATGAGACTGAAAGTTCTACTGCTTCAGCACACAGTTGGTTACACACACCTGCAGTTAGAAAGCCACTGTGACTGATCCCTTCATGGAAACTACAGAAAAACAATGGCTCTCTTTGGGTCTGAGGGTTGCACTGATCACACACCATCATATCTGTGAAAAACACAGGTGTGTGTCAGCTATAAGGTAAAGGTATGAGTCTGTGGATGATCAAACAAGTCGCTGGATGTGGCGAGGCTCCTGAAAATTTGGTGGGTAAAAATACACGTCAATGAGATCCAATATTTGTTTGAAACTGTCTAATTTTGTTTGAGGCTGGTTAATGAGATAAAAACAGGGCCATAAGAAAGAAAGAAGAAAAGAATATGAAGGCCTAATAGTGGGAGAAATAGCATTTCCATTCTCCATTTTATAGGCCAGAAGAATCCATGCTCTTCCTACTCATTAACCTGCCCTACCAGGTTGAGATGAGCAGGAAGGGGGTCTGTGGTCCTTTGGGATCACAGCTTGATCATGTAGCGCAGTACCTGTACAAAGTAACATCCTAATATACAGAGAAATAATATACTCTAAGATTTGCAATGAAATTTTTCACTGTTCCCTTCCATGTTAGCAAAACCTAACATTTTCTTAACTTTTCTGTATCTCCCTCTCTCTCAGTTTCCTTCTAATTAATTCAAGGGTCTCATGGAGATTTTCCTATTTCTGAGATTATTTATCAGCATCATTCATTTCAGTTATGGTACTTTTCTATAATTACATTTGCATAATTTAAGCTATGATTTCTGCTAATTAGTACTTCATTAAAAAATCAGGATTCAGGGTACAGGTGAAAATTATTAGGAAATAATACCCAGACACATAATTTAAAACAGCTCACTGACATAAAGAAGTAAGCCTTCCAAAATGGTATTTCATAGTGAGTTTAGAAATTCTTCCCTTACCAGCAGAACTCCAAAGTGTGTGAGGTGGTTACACAGGCACACCGTTTCGTTCTTTTCTGCATTTGTTTGTGCATCGCATCCTGATCTGTTCCAAAATCCAAAATTTTCTATAGGAGAAAATCAATAAACATTGTTGGATGACATTTTGTTTAAGGAAATATGCCTCAGATGCCTTTACTGTTTCACTATAAGCATATTATATTGTGAAAGTTGCCAATACTTAGAATTAAGATTCCTGGAATCTGAGGATGTTGGCAGTGAGTAGGCAGAGATTATCAGTGGTTTTCAACTGGGTTCAACTGGGTTTGTTCAATTTTTTTTTTTTTTTTTTTTTTTTATAGAGGCATGCTTTATTTATTTGTTTGCTGGTTTCTTTGTTTGTTTTGTTTATACATGCACTGGGTACAGTCAGAAGCGCGGGAGGGCGAGAGAATTCACCAGAGCCAGAGCGGGGAGCAGAGCAGGCAGAAGGACCGAAGTACACTGCTGAGGGGAGCAGCGGGCGGCAGGAGAGGTCTGCGCACCATGTGGGACCCTCCTCCGGTGGCCGGGGAGCAGCCGGGGATTGTTCAATTTTTTTTTTAAAGACCTTTTATTTATTTATACAAGAGTTGGGGTACAGGCCAGAGGCATGGGAGGGTGGGAGGATTCACCAGAGACAGAGCAGGGATCAGAACAGGCAGACGGACCAAAAGCACTGCTGTGGGGAGCAGCAGACGTGACAGGAGAGGTCTGCCACACATGTGGGTATCTCCCTGGCCAGCCGGGAAACGAACCAGCGCTGCAAAAGCTGCGGACAGCTCCACAGCGCTGCTCTCAACCTGCTGCGCCACCGGGGAAGCCCGGGTTTGTTCAATTTTTAATATATTTTAAAATCAACTTCCATAAAAATACAAATATAACATACACCAATGTATGACAGCAATGCATTATTTTTATCTTGAGCCAATCTGTTTTGGGGAGGACACAAGGACAAAGATCTACTTCTCTGGAACATGCTATTATGTACACAGGGGCTATGTGCAACATAGCTTGTTATAACATACTGCCCCGACTTTTACGGTATGTTATGAAATATAAGCCCCTCCTATATTTGAAGACTATTTTAAGACTGCAAGGAGGTATCATTTTTAACTATTAATATATATCTAGTAAATCAGACTCTTCTCAAAATTATACAACTAGAAACTGAACAGTAATAAAAAGTTTTCAGCTTTTGACAAGGAGCATCAGGAAAGAGGCTTAGGACTCCTCCACAAGACACACCCACCCACACTGACTTGATGTGGTCACCAGAATCCCACTGGGGCTTTTTGAGGGGATACCTTTGGGGGCAGAATAAGGGGGTTCATGACTTGTCCTTCCCATCAAACAAAGCTCCCCACTTTTCACCCAGTAATTCACCCCTTAATTTTGCCTTTCTCTCTTGATCCGCAAATGGCATTCTGGAGGTAGTGCACTTCTTTCAAATAATATATACCCATTGTAACTAATCCTACATTTAGTTTTTTTTTAAATGAACATCCACCCACTCCCCATAATCTGAGGTCTAAAAGCTGAATTTTAAATTATCTGCCTCATGTATATCAAATAATCTCTGCAGTGGTCTAGAAGAATGAGATCAAGTATATATGAACAGTCATCTGAAAGTGGCCACAACAGTGCATTAACAATGCATAGCAATATATAAAGTACAATACAATGTATTTTATAAATAACTAAGGTCAGAGGTTGTTTGCCACTAAAAAATGTCAGATCTTCCTTTATCTTCTTGTCTGCAAGAATGAATAGTTACAGAAATTAGATACCGCTTCTCAAGCTCCCTAAATTAAGTCTGCAGCTTAGTCACCATCACACTTACATTGTGACTCACTGTGGTCCAGGGTAAAATGAAAGAAGAGGGGGGTGTTTAACAAGGTTTCAAATTCAGTTGTTATTAAGACAGTCAATATTTTAAAACTTACCATTTTTGTTTAGATCCCAGAAGGCACAGATGGAGTGAGGCACTGCCTATATTAACATAACAATAAACATGTGACACTGTTTAAAATAAATGAAAAAATCATACAATTTGAATATGTGAAAATGTTAAGGTTTTCACAAAGAAATAGATTTGCCTTAGTCATGCCAATATGACCTCAGAAAGGCAGGCAGTGCAGGGGAATCTCCTTTCACAAAGACTCTAAGTGGAAATCAACTATAACTAACTCCATGAGGGATCCTGTTATCCATCTATCTGCAGGTTTCAATTTATGTCTCATTGTAAAATGTAATTCCCTATTAAAGTAATTAAAACTGGCACTGAAACAGATACTGCACACTCACATTCTTTGCAGCATTAGTCATAAGAGCCAAAGGTGGACCAAAGTGTCCATCACCTGACACATGGATAAGAAAAAATGGGGTGTGTGTATTTTAATGTGTATTAGAATTCCATAATATTTATATTATGATACATAAGAAGAATATATATATAAACATATGCTATAATATAAGCATATAAACATATATTATAATATATTATATAAGCATATATTACATACATATACATATACACAACAGAATATTATCCACACTTAAAGAGAAAGGAGATCCTGGCACGTGCTATAATATGGATGAACCTGAAATATGTTAAGTGGAATAAACCAGTCACAAAAAGACAAATACCATGTGATTCCACTTACATGGGGAAATTCCAAGAGAGAGAGAGAGACAGAGACAGACAGAGAGAGAGACAGAGACAGAGAGAGACAGAGAGTAGAACAATGGCTGCTGGGGGCTGGGAGGGGGAATTGGGGAGCTGTGGCTTAATGGGCACATGTTTGTAGTTGGGGGAGAGAAAAACTTCTGGAGATGGATGTGAAATGGTAGCAGAACAATATGAATGTACTTAATGCCACCGAGCTGTACATTTAAAAACAGTAAAACTAGTAATTTTATATCATGTCTATTTTGTGACCAAAATAACACTCATTATGGATGCAGACACTGAAATAAAGGAACGAACAGGTAGAACGTTGAGTCTCAGGGGGTTCAGTGACAAAGGTGGCCTCCTTCTTAGATCACTTACTTCCAAGCCTTAGTCCTTATCTGCCAGCTCACTTCCCTCCATCTTCCTGCCTAATGGCAGAGTAACGCCTGGACCATCTATGGGTGGGGGAGCCACATGGCTGGGCTAGAGAGTACATATAGTAAGAACCCTCAAATAAGTCTAGTGAATAAACAGATGAGAGCAAGAGAAATGAAGCAAGATAGAAAGGTAGGTAGGTAGACAGACAGCAACCTTGGCAGAGATGTAGACAATTACTAATCTGTCAAAGGATGAGTCAGCTTTCTCTTGTTTCCCTCTACTTCCCAGCTGCAGCAATCTTTGACTTTAAAATACAATCAAAACCGGTAACAGCAGGACTGTGCAATGTATCTGCACCTAATTTACTTGAATATATATGGTTTCTTCAAAATAACCATTGGCTTCCATTCTTTTCCTGAGTTCTAGAAATGACTAATCCCCCCAACCCCCGCAACACACACACACACACTCCAGTTGCCACAGTTTATTGTGACATTCGGCCACTAACAGACTAGGTGTTCCTCCACACTCCCACCCCTGCCCAGTTACTTTGATCATGTAAAGGAACAAAAGCCACAGTTCACCAAAAGAGGCTTCTACTGTTCCATTGCTCTTTGCATCATCTTTATTTTTTTTACCTCAGTGTGTTTGATTTTGATTTGAACAGGATCCTTCAGATCGCGGATGGTAATGTTTCCAATACTGCATGCCATCACATAACTCACTAAGTGGCTCTCGTTGTTTTTCACACCCTTTAAAGAAAATAAATTGTGTATTAGTCAGAAGTACACACTTTTATTTGGGGGCTCCAAAATAAGCAAACTGTCAGCACTTTTTACACTTAAGATCTTCAATTATAGAACATCCTGTTTATAAGACTAAAATGCTGGCTTTCCTGAAACGGCTTTGCTATTTCCCTTATTACAATAAATACACTGAAGGAACATTAGGAGTGAATGTTTAAGGCACTGCGCAGAAAACTTCATTCTCGATTGCTGTAACTAATGCCCAGCCAATTAACACCTGAAACAATGCAAACCCATAACTAATATAAATACATAAAAGCTGCGAAAAAATTAGAAAATATGGTGTGAAAAATATTTTTAAAAGCATACAATAACATTTCATATCCATGACAACAGCCCAATTGCAGCTTCCATTTCACAGATTCAGTTCTCAGGAAATCAAATTAGTGCATCTATGCTGCAAAATGATTGGACCCACAAAACTGTCCCTCCAGGGAAATATCACTACTTTCTTTTCCCCGTCGTGTTTCTTGCTGAACCTCCTGAATTACTCTATTGCAGCTTATAAATCAGTTGTTTTGGAATAAGTGTAGGATTTCTTCAATGGCCAATGACACTCAGCATTCAGAATATAGCTTTTTATTACTTTAGTGTGGTCATTCACACATTCATCTTTGGCTTGGGGATACCTAAACTTACCTTTAAAAATACTCTATCTTCAGCATCCCTGGTGGCGGAAGGGGTTAAATCTCAGCACCATGAAGCTATCAGCAGCCACTACAGCAGGAGTTGGATCCCCAGCTGGACAAGGAGCTGACCCACATGGCCCAGCAGACCCCTCCTGTCTCGCCCGCTGCTCCCCTCAACAGTGTATTTCAGTCAATCCACCTGTTCTGCTCCCTACTCTGTTTCTGGTGAATACATTCAATCCCTGCACCTCTGGCCTGTACCCCAGTTCTTGTATGCATAAATAAATCTTTAAAAAAAAATACTCTATCTTGCTCACAGTGTGAAGGGGGGACCACAGAAACTTAAAACTATTTCACACTGCTATAAATTTATTTTATAAAACAAACACATATTTCCTAATAATTACTTTGGGAGATGTCAAAGGAGAAGGTGGTATAGATGGTGTAGAAAAAGGAAGAGTCGCAATAAGACAATAACAAATTCTTTCAACTCTGAGTTGTCCTAAATCCTTCCCACTGAGCTTAGCCCTTCCTCTGATGGGATGGCCCCCCATGCATATTTTGTATGGTTTTTAAAGGTGACAATGGTAAGTCTCAAATAAAAAACACAGTTTAATCTGTTCATAGCTATTAAACCTTTCAGAGTAATTACAAGTAATTGCACTCTTAATATCGGAATTTCTATATAGTTTGTTTCTAAAATATTAGCTAATAAAAATTTAAAGTTTTGGAATTAATTACTGCAAATGATTTCATGGTATTGCTTTGCTTCTCTGTAGCCTACTTTGCTATTCCTGTATAAATGATGTAACAGGCAGGTCTAGTAATAACATTTCTATTGGCTTTGGAACTTGCCATTTTCTCCTACATTAGTCACATTTATTGATATAGACAGGTATCCTCAATTTAATTACATTATTTTTATTTTTTTAAAAAAGGCTCAGTGAAACTGCGCTGGATGGTTGTATTTTCGAAGGCAACTAGAGGTCACCAGTGTTTGCTAGCAGTAGACTTTCTAGTATCTAGAAACAATGCCAATAAAAATGATAATATGTACTCAGCACAATACCACCTTATTTGGGGAATGTGTGAAGGCCAAAGGTCATTTAAAACACTAATGAGAAAAATGATTAAAGCCAAGAATGCTGCTCATTATATAAGCTCTGCTTCCTGATGAATTGAAAAAAAACTCTTTCCTTTGGTTTCTTTAACCTGAAGGTCTAAATTGTTAGAGCGTATATTTTAAAAAAGGAATAATAAGTCATAACTTTTTGACAAATTCCATTTTTAATTCTATTATGCAAGTCTTAATATATTATGTGATTAATTTAAAAACTCAAAAGAATACATCCTGTTAATAAGCATAATTATCTGAAATAAAATATTTAAACAATTATGTTAAAGTTTTCCATCTTTGAATGTACAAAAAGTTAACTTCTCCAGACCTCTGGATATATTTCCAAGGTATCTGAAATTCCAAATTTCCCTTTGAACAAAGAAACTCAATTTTCAAGTTGAAACTAATAATTAAAAGAACACTTACCCCAAAAAGTCCAGTTTTATTAAAGAAAGTAAACTGTGCTCTGCTCATGGAATCTTCTTGACTTAAATTTTCAAATAGATTTGGAGGCAAAATTACAGAAGCCAGTGGATCCATTTGTCCACTTTCAAAATCCATCTGTCATACAGAGAGATATATTAGTTGAATAATCACAATTGCATTGCCATGATAGTTTTACTCCATGTGCTATTAAGGCAGGAGAATAAGTATAAGTCTCAATGTATTTAGGACAGGGCTTTCCTTCTAGTAAGACCATGTCCTCCTGGGTGAACTCTTACACATGGCACAGCCTTCCTGGGTGAACCCCTATAGATGGTATAGTCCCTCCTGGGTAAACTCCTAAAATGGCAAGGTCCAGATTCATTTGAGTTTTACAAGTTTGGTGAGTTGAGGAAATAGCATTGATTTTAACTAAGGCAAAATGAGAAGTCTATAAATCAGTTAATATTTTCAAATATAAGAATTAGATTTACATTTAATAGATTTTGAAGTTTTCTCAGAACACTTCATGAAAAATAACTATGACACCAACAAAAGACTATAATTAATTTTTTAACTTCTGAGAATAAGTATCTCTACATAGAGGAAACAACTGACATTTTATGAACACTCTTGGATATCATTTTTCCTGAACCCATAGATCAGGCCAAAGAGTATTTTCCTGAAAATATACTTGAATGAGACTGAGGCCGACTGAGTTTTCACTCTTATTTAAAATATTAAACAGAATTACCCCCAAAGAACTTGTCTAAAACAGAAAAAGAGGTTTTCTTCCTTATATCCAGATTTTTATTATTTTATCTCCACAAGTAAGTATCACACACCACATGTGTGTTTTCCCATGTCAAAGATGACGTGGATAGTGGCTAATACTGTCTAGCACACAGTAGAGACTTAAAAATTACTTGATGAATTATCACTTGAACAGGTCAGAGTCTCTCCATGAATCTAGGCCCACCTTTCCTGTCCCGCCTCACTATCCCCTGTTAATCCCAGTTTTGATATCACTGGTTCTCAAGGCATAATCCTCAGACCAGCAGATTCAGCAATACCTGGAACCTGTTAAAAGTGTAAATTAGGTCCACCCAAGACATACTAAATAACTCTCTTCATGGATGGACCCAGCAACATGTTTTGACAAGCCCTGCAGAATCACTGGCAAAGAACATACACCAAGCTTCTTTCCCACCTTTTAATAAAGCTCTTTCTCTGACCAAACTGACCCCCACCCCCTTCCTCTTAACAATGTGGCCCTTATTCATGCTTTAATATTTAGGTCCATTATCACCACTTATAGAATGGTAAAATGGCCATCTCTATCACTCAGGTTCTGAAAGTATTCCTTTTCTAGGCAATGACATAACTTGAAGTCATTGCTACTACACATATTAGGCAATCTTCAGACCTGCCTGCCAACTTGAACCAAGATCTCCTTGAAGTAGCAACTGGTAGGTGATGAGAAAATTTTTATTTGTGTGATTAATTGCAATTAAAGAAACACTGACTGGTTACCTGGAAATGAGATTCATTATTGCCTGGAAGACCGATGCTAAAATTTAAAGTTTCATTTGACACTCCAAGAGCCAAATTGAGAGTTGAAATAGTCACACGTGGTGTGATACTTAGGTCTATCTTGAAGGCCAATTCATCAATTGTTTTTAAAGCTCTAAAGGAATGACAATACCACTGTTATTATCATGTTTTAGGTATCCATACACACATGATTTGCTACAGGGAGAAATATAAACAGAATAAAACTGTCTTTAAATTCTTTGATCTGAGCATGAATGTCTACAAAATAACTCCAGACTACAATAATATCAGTTAAAACACAGAACCACAGTACAGATACTTCCTCAAGAGGAATGTATACCTTAACGAAAATCAACAATTTAATCATTCTAACAAATACCCGTTTTTCCCCTATCTTAGCCTTTTTTTCTTCATATGAAAAACTCTCTTCCCTACTTCGTAACTGACCAATAATCAAAGAAAATAATGTGGCAAAGTAAACTATGAGACACTGAAAAAAATGCTTGTAATTATTTTGTGGATAAGGCAAATTAAAGAATACATTTTAAAAAAGACAAAATTTTCACCTAAGAAATTTGGTTGAAAGGAAGGCACTAGAAAGAAAGAAATTAAATATCATAATACATCAAGTGAAATCACTGGATACAAATGGAACTGGTAAAAGTAGGTACATTTTGACCTGAAGCAATTTAATTTCACAGGATACTAACTGTGACCAAATTATGCCTAAAAGATGTAAGTTCAATGATTGCTGTCTCCTTTGCAAACAAAAAGTGTCATAAATGAATATTTGTGATAGTCTGTTCATCTTCTGATTTAACCACAGTTAATATATTCAGTTAAAATGAAATACTAGTGATGCTATCATAGAACTCCTTATTACATATCTATTTAGATAACAACCCTAATCATTGCGCAAGTTACATGTCTCCAAAAAAAGAAAATAGAACTTTCAAGTTCATTCTATGAGTGACCTTGGAAAATATCAGCAGATACTGTAGAGGTTTGAACTATTAGGTCTCAGCGCCAAGCATTCAACTATGTGAGAAATTATATAATATACTTAAGCAATAAATTTTACTCTCCAGAAGAAAAAACATAAAAACTTACTCAGAAGAGGAATTCTGCAATTCATCAGCTGGACTGGTTAAGATATTGGAAAAAATTTTCATTATGGTTGAGCCAAGGGTGATGTCGATGTAGTCTTCTTCATTCACAAGCTTTTTGACCTGATCTACAATGCTGCTGATATTGGCTGAGTTTAAGTTCTGCACATCACTGGTTAAATTTAAAATCTCATTGGCAATTGTATTTGCTTCTTCTAAAAAAAGGCAGAAGAAACAACATACAATGTTTTACCTGTGCATTTTGAGCATTCCTGGGAATATAAATCCATGTGACATTTTATCAATGTATCATTAAAGCAGCAAACTGTATGTCCTAGAAACTGAGCAACTCAGGTAAGTAACTTGGAGGGCCCACTTATCACATATGGTTCTAAAAGTTATGCTCCCACAATCACTGCATTTGTGTGAATCTGCTGGCTAAAAATGTAACACAAAACTACAAAGTAATTGGTATCAATATCAACGGATACATTATTTTTAAGTCTTCTTTAAAACTTTTTTACTCTTTTTAATCTCTCCAAGATGATAGAACAAAACATTAGAATGAGGAAAAACATTATTTTCTACCTTACATGAAATAATCATTTGCCTAGTCTTTAGTATGCTAACAGTATCCACAGAGCATGAGGTCATTTCATTTTGTCTTGGAGAAGTGAAAAAAATCACTTACGTGTACAATTAGAGAGATCAGGAGGTCCCCAGTAGACGTAAGTTTGGTTGTACCTGATGCTTTGAACCAAAAAATGATAGTTCAGATTATGCCATATGTGACATTATAACTGAGAAAATTAATGATAGGTTTTAGACTTTGCTTTGATATGGAGTTAAGTTTCATTTGACAATAAGACTGTAATATAATGAAATGAAACTCATGAAAATGCTTACTGGAAAAAATCAGATGCATGTATTACAAAAACAAAATACCAGTAAACTGTCCTCACCTAGGATATATCAGGCTAATAAGATTAAAGACATATTTAGTAACAGGGGGCAAGGATCACTTTAAAAACCTTTCACACAAAATCTGATTTTGATTTCATATCACTCCGTAAGGCAGATTCTGATCCACCCTTTATAGACAAGGAAATAAATTTAGGTAAGTCAAGGAATTTTCCAAGTTCTGATAGACAGAAGAAGGTATACCCACATTTCCCACTCAAGTCACTAAGTCTCTAAAATCCCCTTCTTTTTTTCTGACCAGAGGTAAGGTGCAAAACTTTTCTACCTGAGCAGTTTCAGCTTGTGAATTAGCCCCAAGAAAATTCTAACTAGGGACAGGATAGATGCCACTGCATTTGAGTTCCTTTTGGGTGAATCCTCTGCAATGGCCATGCCTTTGAACTTTCTGTTAAACATTTAGCAAAAATCTACAGCCTGACAGTCTCCATTAGCAGACTGTCCTACTTTGATCATTTTTTAAATTTATTTATTTATGCATACAAAAACTGGGGTGTAAGCCAGAGGTGTGGGATGGGGGGTGAGAGGATTCACCAGAGATAGTGGGGCGCAGAACAGGCAGATCTGAAATACACTGCTGAGGGGAGCTAGACAAGTCTGCTGCACCATGTGGGTCAACTCCCTGGGAGGCCAGGGATCAAACTTGTGCTGCAGTGGCTAGCAGTAGCTTGATAGCACTGTCTTTAACCCCTGCACTTATTTTTATTCCCTGCTTCAAAAACTGCCATTCTAGGGCCTCACCTGGTGGCGCAGGTGGTTGAGTGCTACGCTGTGAAGATGTCTGCAGTCTCTGCAGTGTGGGTTCAATCCCGGATGGCCGGCGAGGGTCCCACATGGCGAGACAGACCTCTCCTGTCTCGCCCGCTGCTCCCCTCAGCAGTGTATTTCGTCGGTCTGCCTGTTCTGTTCCCTACTCTGTCTCTGGTGAATCCTCTCACCCTCCTGTGCATCTGGCCTGTACCCCGGTTCTTGTATAAAATAAATAAATAAATCTTTTTTAAAAATTGCCATTCCAAAAAAGGTCCAAAATAATGGCATTTCAGATGCACATGCCATGGCTGTGCAGTGGCTCAAGTCACCCAAACATAAGGTGCACCAGAGTCAGCCTCTGGATTCCAAATGTCACCTTCTTTCTTCAAAAATTAGATTAAGATCTGCTTGGAGTAAAAAGGCTTTTCTTGGTAACCTACCCACCTCGGCTTCTCCTGATCTCCCATGGAGTGAATGATTTAGGTGCCCAGAGACCCCCACCTGTCTTTTAGTCGATACCCAGGGCATGTGGGCTACTGTGCAGTCTGTGCTACCCTGGGAAAGTGGATAACATGGGGCTTTACTAGCAAAAGTCAAAGAAAGTATTACCACTCCCTTATGGCCTTGACATTATTCTTCCCTCTGCAAGTTATTCTGTGTGTCCTGGGCATGATGCGGGGCCACAAATAACCTTTGGGGAGCTCCTCAGGAGGACATACATCTATGTGAAAAATAAAAATCACATGAGAAATATTCATGTATTTTTTGAAGCGACAAAGTTGGCATGGTATTTATTTTATATAATACTAAAATCCTACTTTTTTATGGTCAGAATTTGTAAACATTTAGAAATTCAAAGAAATTCATATATAATACATTTCAGATATAAAAATGATTGCATCTTCCAAAACCGTCAAATAAAAATTTCACCCTTGTATGAGTATAAACATGAACCACATACTCACTCTAATGTAAATTATTAGCAGATTAAATTATAAAAAGAAAGATTTATTCAAAAATAGTATTAGAGAAAATGAAAACACTTGGGGAAACTTCAAAGCATAATTTTATCATTTTTCACAGGGTGAAATATATAAAATGATGCATCATAATTATAAATAACATTAGGGCAATAACTTTCCTTTTTTTTGTCTGTCTTTTTGGTCAAAATCAAGTCTCATTTTATTCAAATATTTACTTGGAGGATGTGCTAGATGCTGGGGAGATAGAAAGTGAGGTGGAGAAGAAAAAAGAAGATATGTTCTCAATTCACAAGAAATTACTTTTTAAAGAAAAAAATACAGGGGCCTCCCTGGTAGCGCAGGGGTTAAAGACAGCGCTATCAAGCTATTGCCACCCACTGCAGCACTAGTTCAATCCCCATCACCAGCCTGCCAGGAAGGTGACCCACATGGCGCAGCAGACCTCTCCTGTCTCATCCACTGCTCCCCTCAGCAGTGTATTTTGGTCAGTCTGCCTGTTCTGCTCCCCAACTCTGTCTGGTGAATCCTCTCACTCCCTGCACCTCTGGCCTGTACCCCAGTTCTTATATGCATAAGTAAATAAATCTTTAAAAAAATAAAAATACATAAGAACATAAATAAGTCCAGTCAAATACTGGTTTTCTGCTGTGCGATTCTCTAGGAATCTGGACTACAGGAGCTGGAGGCTCAAAGGTGGTGCTATCTACTTACACATAAAGGTGTCAGAAAAAGCTTCAATTTAGAAAAGGTGACATTAACTGTCTTTAAAACTATGAAGGTGATAATCAAGTGGATGATGAGAAGGGGGCAGTGTGGGCAGAGAGATAGAAAGGAGGCATAAGAGTAAGATATTTTTTGGCAAGTGCTAGCAGTAGGCTGGGAATGGTGTCCAGATAAGAATTAAAACTAGGTAAGGCTAGGGGCCTCCTCTGGTGGCTCAGGTGGTTGAGCGCCATGCTGTGAAGCTGTCCACAGTCTCTGCAGCACCAGTTCGATCCCAGCCGGCCAGCGGGTCCCACATGGCAAGCAGACCTCAGGAATTTGTCAGAGTGGCACATGGAGAGACAGAATAAGTCAAGTATAAGAAGGGAGATGAGGGCCTCTCCTGGTGGCGCAGTGTTTGAGAGCTGGGCTGTGAAGCTGCCTGCAGCCTTTGCAACACCGGTTCGATCTCCGTCCTCCACGATAGGGTCCCACATGGCGTGCAGACCTCTCTTGCCGCCCGCTGCTCCCCTCAGCAGTGTATTTCGTCAGTCTGCCTGTTCTGTTCCCCACTCTGTCTCTGGTGAATCCTCTCACCCTCCCGCACATCTGGCCTGTACCCTGTTTCTTGTATAAATAAATAAATAATAATAAAATCTTAAAAAAAAAAAAACAACTAGGTAAGGCTAACTCCCAGATTCCTGGCCTATTCCCAAAAAGACAGCGGAATCATTAAAAGGGACAGAAAACTTCCATTTTCAGTCCTTGGAATTCACAGATAAAAAGTTGATATCTTTTGCCCTTATCATGTCACCCATTTGTTACAGTGTCACCAACACAATGACTTTCAGCATTCAGGAAAATTAGCTTTAAATTGATAACCAATATACAAAGGAAGAATATTTTTGTTGTTGTTTAATTAAACTTGACTATATAGTTCCATATATATATTATAAAAAAGTTGAAAGTGCTTACTTACCCTTTTGCCTTACATTCACTGTGAACAGCCTCAAGCCTTCATCCAGGGATTCATTATTCTTTAAGATCTTCTGCTGAATGATTTTTCCTTCTAAATTGGGATTGTTGGTAGCATTGTAAACTAGAAGAGCTGAGATCGTTAGCCTAGGAAATCATTTTAGATAGAGTTGTTACTGGGGCTGTCAGCTGGTTGGTGATTTTTTGGGGGGAGGGAGTGGAAAAACAAAACATTTTGATATGGTAGTAAGATGACCAAAAAGTATTGACATTGAAGAAACAGACCAAGGTCCTGTCACTGATGTCTTTTGCTGCATAGATTATAATACTAAAAATAGGGCCTCCCTGATGGCGCAGCGGTTGAGCGCTGGGTTGCAAAGCTGCCCGCAGCCTCTGCAGTGCCAGTTCGATCCCCGGCTGCTCCCCGGCCACCAGAGGAGGGTCCCACATGGCGCGCAGACCTCTCCTGCCGCCCGCTGCTCCCCTCAGCAGTGTACTTCGGTCCTTCTGCCTGCTCTGCTCCCTGCTCTGGCTCTGGTGAATTCTCTCACCCTCCCGCGCTTCTGACTGTACCCAGTGCTTGTATAAATCAATCAATCAATCTTGAATAAATAAATAAATCTTTAAAAATAATAATAATAATACTACAAATATCTTAATGGGAACAGATTTTATAAAATATTGCATGGATAATAGTGTGCATCTATAACAGCATTTTGTATCACCCCATTTCTTTTAGGGAAAAAAGGTGAATAATATTTCGTAGTATATATTGAAGAAAAGGTCATACTTGTGGTTAAATCTACATTGTTTCTTTATAGCCCCAAGTAAAAACTTTAAAAAATTCAATTTCAACTACTTTGATGAAACCAATCATTTTACTTTTAAAATTATTAAGGGCCTCCCCTGGTGGCACAGGCGGTTGAGCGCAGCGCTGTGAAGCTGTCCGCAGCCTCTGCCGCCCGCGCCGGTTCAATCCAAGCCAGCTGGCGAGGGTCCTACATGGCGCAGCAGACCTCTCCTGTCTCGCCCACTGCTCCCCTCAGCAGTGTATTTCATCAGTCTGCCTGTTCTGTTCCCCGCCCTGTCTCTGGTGAATCCTCTCACACTCCCGCACATCTGTCCTGTACCCTGGTTCTTGTATAAATAAATAAATAAATCTTTTAAAATTTTTAAAAATAAAAACTGAAAATAAGATTTTATTATTTGAAAATGCCTTACAGTTTCTCTAAAATGGTGATAAATTATTTTCCATCTTCATCAAACATTTGCAAGTACTTTGGTGAAAGTTATGAAGTCAGTACTCAAATTGTACTTGATGATTGGCCAGCATATTACCAAAGATGTTGTTATAGAATGCCTGACCTTGAATGTCTTTAAAAATAAATCTCTATGGGAAGTAGAGAAGAATTCTAAAAGCTCCATCAAAGCTTTTGGTTCCATAATTTGAATCAGTAAAACTTTCTGTTATAATCAGAGGTAGCCGGTAGCAAAAATCAAAACTAGTAAGGAAAATTAAACAAAACTTGGCATATAAAGGAGCAATTTTTTCTCTCATGTTAAAGCTCTGAGTTTATAATAAAATTTTATCTTCTTCCTATTCTAAAGATAAATATTATCTTTAGATAGATATTATATCATAATATAAGATATAAGATAGAGTGATAATCATATAATTATATTACCAATATTAGTTACTGCATACATGGCAAAGTCCAAGCAGTAGCACTTTTTGAAAAGACTGTGAAGTATTCAGTGGAGAGGTAGTGGCATATTTTATTTATTAAATTCTATGCGTATAAATCAAAATGAAGGAGAGTATTAAATATCTGTGGTGCTAAAAAGAAGAAAGAATAAGTGAAATTTTGCTTCAAGGTCAGATGAAATTGAAGAATAGTTCTAGTTTTTCCCTAAATATCATGCTAATCTCAAGGACAAAGCGCTGTACTAGTCTCACAATCCACTCAGCAAAGTTGTTTATCTCCAAAATGATTTACTGCTTAATGTTCATATATAAGCTTTTATTTCAGGATGAGACTTATGTGAATACAATGATGAGCTACGCCACCTTAATAATTTTTAGAATGACCTATGAAAAACTATCCCTTGATTAATTATTCCTGGGACATTAGCTCTGCCATGCCAGCTACTGAGAACTTTGAGGTGGGAACGTGACCTTCTACTTCTCTTGAATATTGAGAATATACTTAGTACAATGTATTGTGGGTGATATTGAATATCTTAATTCAGCAATTGGAGAATGACCATGCCTTATTTATGTTGTTTTCCTCTTTCATCCAGTAAACTGAAACTATTGTATGGTCCTGTTTTTGCCATCAATCACTCTTTATTCAAATAAACCAATCTCTGGCTTTGGTTTCCTGTATGTCCAGGCGATAGAGTATGATAACCTTATTTGAAGCTGTGGTCTATATTAAGTGTCACAATCAAATTGAAAGGAAAAGTTTGGGGGAAAAAATGTGTGTGTGAAACTAGTAGATTGTGGCTTTGAGAACAATTATGGGTGGCAAAGGCTCATCATTGAACGTAAGAGAGTAAGCAGAAAAAAGGAGGGGAAAAATACTCTAAGAATACATTTTTAAAACAATGCAGAAGTTTATATCAAAGAAAAACAAAAAGTATGAATTTCCCATATATATATATATATATATATATATATATATATATAGTCTTGTTTTCATTCTTCCTAGAACTCATAGATCTTGGAAGTTACATATTGGTTTGACAGACAGAAAACTGAGATTCCATAAGTTTAAATGACTTTCAAGCAAGAATTTCTGAGGTGCTGGTTTTATTATTGTCAGGCGCTAGAAAAATCACAGTACGCAAACTGAAAAGGGCAACACTTCAGAAAATTAGCTGATGACTATGAATGATGAAAATATTTCCCATTTCACTAGGTATTACCATATATAAATTCCTTCCTTAAAATTGCAGCTACCGGGCCTCCCCGGTGGCGCAGCAGTTGAGCGCTGGGTTGTGAAGCTGCCCGCAGCCGCTGCAGCACCAGTTCCATCCCCGGCAGCTCCCAGGCCACCGGAGGAGGGTCCCACATGGCGCACAGACCTCTCCTGCCGCCCGCTGCTCCCCTCGGTTGTGTACTTCGGTCCTTCTATCTGCTCTGCTCCCTGCTCTGGCTCTGGTGAATTCTCTCACCCTCCCGCGCTTCTGACTGTACCCAGTGCTTGTATAAATAAATAAATAAATAAATAAATAAATAAATAAATAATCTTAAAAAAAAATTTGCAGCTACCTTTTTTTTCCTCTGAGGGTCTTTTTGAAACTCAAATAAGAGGTAATGGGTTATCATTTAAAAAAATACAGGAAATACTAAACATCATTCATTTATTTTAAAGGTCCTAGTTCCGAATTATCTTTATCATATGCACATTTCTACACAGTTGGCTGTATTAGATTTTACCCCAAGAAAAAAAATGTGTACTAAAGAAGTAATTTAAACATGTTCCTTCATTAAACTGTTTCTTATTTCATTGTTTTTATTTCTCTACTAGACAATCAAAACAGATAGTAACAGAAAGGATGTTATACTGTCTGTAAATTTGTCAGTGTTACCTTGAGTCATTCCCAATACTTCTCTTGACTTTAATCTTGTCCTCTCCTGTGTGCACATGAAAGCTATAATAAAAATATGCATATTCATTACCAATCTCACCTGCTGCATCATCAACAACAAAATCTGAGAAGGTGAAAGAAAGAGACAGAAAGCATATTCTAACCTAATATTTCCAAATGTGTGTCCTGAAGTCTAGTTCTTCCTCATGCCCATGGCAAAATTGTTCCATTGCCAGATAAGATTGGCAGCTATGTCCCTGGCTCTCTTTTCACAGTGAGTGTTAAGTATAGTGTATTAAGAACCTGATATTACAAACCTGCTTCTGCTTATTTAGTAATGTACACTCTGAACTAATGTGGCCATTTGATCCCCATTTCTGTGTTATTGCATCCCTTGGGTTCACATAGTATATGTTTAGGGTTCATAAAATACATATTAGAAAACTTGTTTAATATAAAACTATGGATACCAGGGACAGAGGAAGAACAGTAGATAATACTGTTTGCTAGGGACTCAGTGGGATATTTAACCACAAGAACAGTAAAAGATAATTTTGAAAAGTTAGGTTGCAATCAGACTGTAGATGTCTTATCTTACAGAAAAATGATCTGGGGTGCATGCAGTCCAGGGGGTGTTCTAGATACTTCATGGGATATGAAGCGAACCTAACAGAATTACTATTTATACTTACTCTTTTAATTTGTGATGGATGTATCATAGCATATATGTTGAGGAAGAAATAACACCCCCATATGCATACACATACATATACACACACAAATTATTTAAAATCACAAATACATTTTAGGAATACATGCTAAATTTAAAAAATGACCAGGATCCATGATCAAAAGATATTAAAAAGCATTGCTGGAGCACTGAATCTTTTTATGCAATGAGATGGCATAATATAGAGTTGTTATAGAATTATTATGAATATGAGTATATGTATATGTTTACTTTTGTAAATGTGTGTATGTAAGTATAATCAGAGAGAAAGTTAGAGGGTAGCATTAAGTTAGAGACTGTTTTTCTAATTTCTTAAATAATTGATTCCTTCATTTACCTGATATTAACCACATAAACAGTGTAGTTCCAATTTTGGAAAGTTGAATTGAGCTAAAAAATACAATGGAAAAGGGTGAGTGTTGGTAATACCTTTTTAAAAATCTGAATTAAGTTTCTTCCCTCCTAAAAGATAAGTTGTTACTGGAATAATACCCTGGGAAAATCCCAGAGAGTTAGAGTAGAAGAAAGGTAAAGATAATAGTTACTGAATCACTGTATGCCAAGAACTTTACAAATGTTATTTCTTTCAATCTCACAACCACGATTGAGATAGGTACTACGTGCTTCCTAATATATAAAGAAACTGAGCTTAAGTGAAATGAAATAACTTGCTCAAGGTCATCCAATAAGCAGTTAAATCCCAGATTGGAGCCCAAGTCTGTCTAACTGGATATTACATTTTCCTCTCTAGCCCGTATTATAATGGGTCTCTTACAGAGGCATCCAAGTTAGCCACTGAGAACTTTGTTGTAAGAGGGCACATGGTGAATGAACATAACCAGCACTTTCCATATTCCTCATTCAACAAACACTGAGCTAGTAATTATCGTCTCAATAACATAGCAAGAAAATTAGAAATTAACAATTGATACATTAGAAATACAAAATACCATCATAAAACAAGATTTTGTTAGAGATACAAAATACAATGTACTCTGATTAGACTTCAAATATGTGTTGTCACCAGTAGCTCTCAATATATGGTTTAGCTTTCCTTACTTACCAAGGACACATTTCTTAGATACCCACAATGTAAGAAAATCTGTTTTTTTTAGCTTAAAATGTGTACCCAAGTGACTTAATTCACAAAAGCTGTTTGTAATAGTATTAGAAGTAATTTAAAGCTCCTTCGTATTCTGTAGATAGGAAGTAAAATAATAGGAAACAAAAATAGAAAGCTATAGACAGCAAAAAAATTTTAAATTGCAATGGAGAAGAAAATTTAAAAAAATCTCTAGGGTATATCTACAAGAAAAGAAAATGCTAAAGTTTTAAAATTAGAAATCACCAAATTTTCATCAGTAGAATACTGATTAAATATTGGGCTGTCAGAAAACTCATGACATAATTTTTCAATGTTTTATATGCAAAAATGTGTCATGACTTCATGATTTTTCCAACAACCCAATAAATTTTTAACTAAATAGCCATTAACAGAAGACTTGTTAAATAGATTAGTACACAGTCACTTAGCGGAATACTATTCATTGTTTAAAAAAAAAAAATAGATAAGGCAAGTATCTGAGTACAAATGTTGCTAAATTGGCAATAACAAAATTAAATATAGTGCAGAATGGTCTGTAAAATATGCTGCTTTTATTATAAAAAGGAGAAAAGTAAGACTAGTCTTATTTTCTTTTACAAACAAAGAAATTCTGGAAAAGATACAAGAAAAACTAAACAATTTCCAGGCAAATGGGTTGGTCTCCACGTAAATGAGCTACAAGGATGGCTGGAAGATTTTCATGATATATCTTTTTATACATTTAGTTTTTTAAATCAAACAATCAAATCACTAAATAAAATTAAGCTGTTTACTTTTAAAAATTGGTGCTGAAAAAAAAAATAAAAATTGGTGCTGAAAATATATGATTATTATAGTAAACAAAAATATGTATGCATGCTGTATTTTTCCTTTTCAGATGATGATTATTAAGCTGTTTCTTGTCCTTTCTTCAAATTTACTCTTTCAGTGCATACACCCAACCCCCTCACATGCCATCTACTCATAGATTTGTAATGACCATTCTTTGTATTTCAGCATTATCTGTGGATTTAGTTACTTAGATAGTAAACATCTTTCTCAGATTTGCAGAGATTAAATGTCTAAAACCAAAAAAAGAAATTTTGCTGGGCCTCCCTGGTGGCGCAGCGGTTGAGCACTGGGTTGCAAAGCTGCCCACAGCCTCTGCAGTGCCAGTTCAATCCCCAGCTGCTCCCCGGACACCGGAGGCGGGTCCCACATGGTGCACAGACCTCTCCTGCCACGCCCACTGCTCCCCTCAGCAGTGTACTTCATCAGTCTGCCTGCTCTGCTCTCCGCTCTGACTCTGATGAATTCTCTCACCCTCCCGCACTTCTGACTGTACCCAGTGCTTAAATAAATAAATAAATAAATAAATAAATAAATAAATAAATAAATCTTTTTTAAAAAAAAGAAATTTTGCAAATTCACTTACCCATTCTACCACTTTGTTCTGCACTTTTGCTTCAGGGTGACGAAGGATATTTTCAATAACTATGGAGATACTAAAGACAATTCCATCTGTCCATTGGAAATAAGATTTAGTCCATTAATTATATTTGACAGTCATATAATTATCAAGTTAAATTTAAAAGTAAACAATTTCAGACAATTAAAAAGAGACACTTTTTATGTAGGTACAGAAAATTTCTAAATATCTGGCTTTATGCTGATTGAATTTTATCTTATACATAACTAATAGCCTTTAAATTATGTTTCTTCATATTTTTTAAAATTATTTTTTTAATTGACATAATAATGCATTGTAACGTTATATACATTTCAGGTGTGCATAGTTGTAAGTCAATATCTGTACATGTAATATTAACTTATGCTTTTTTTGAACATTATAAAGAATGTTAGTTTGTGATGTAAAAACCTGGGTGAGATGATGATAGTAGTCAACTTAAAAAAAGAACAGATAAACATCATCATTTGTGTCAAAGCAGAGAGGGAAGAAGACAGACTTAATCTGCAGACAGAATTTTAATGGACTGATTTGCTTTAAAAATAAAAACCTTAATGTGAAAAGAAGATCCTGTGGGCTTTTTGGCGGGGGGGGGGCAGGGAGGAGGTTTCAATCTTTAAAGGAGACTGCTTTTTAAAAATGAAAATCTAACTCAGCAGCCAGGGTTTGTTAAATCTTTCTAAAGGTGTGCTATAAGCTGCCTTAGTAAAATGGTTAATGAGGAAAATACTCTTAAATATGGCAGGTTATAGAGGGGTGGGAAATGAATCTCCATTATTGTCAATCCTCTTTATTCATGCTTATGTTTTAGGAATTCTTAAGTAAAATACCCAAAGAAAGTGTAGAAAGAAATCATTAAAAAATGATGGGGAAGAGATTTAATGAAGACCTGGGAGAAGTCACTGAAAAGAATATAAAAATATGCCTCTGGGAATCCCCAAATCTACCAAAATTCCAGTCCCACTTGAGTGGGACTAGTACAGGGGTCAAATTATCAGTTTAACAAATTTGCTACTCTTAGATATAATAATATACATACATGAAATTGGTTCAAAGTCAAGGTCAAATGAGTTTAGTTTAGGCAGGCAAAATTAGTTCATCTGTACTTTTCAGATACTGAAAGAGATTTCTATGTTTCTTTAAATATAGACTAAGTGAATATTTAGAGGAATATATTTAAAACGAATGACAATAATTCAGATAATTCTTTTCCACAGTAGATATCATCATATCAAATAATGTTCATTCTGAATGGTCATGAAGAAATTCAAATTGCTGATGTCCAAGATTCTAGTTACTTCAGGACCCTAGGTATATCCTGGGGATGTTCTCTGGTGTCAGGAGAGTGACTGAAAAGCTACCACTAGGTGGAGACCTACAGCACATGTTTGTTCTTTTAGTAAATCACTGCAAAATACTGAAAGTGAGTATTTTTAATCACTGACTTATATCAAATTTTTATGGAAGCATCTAAATACTTAAGACATTTTTCTTCAGTTGTTAATATTTACTGCCTCATTTTCTTCACTTCACTGTTTTCATAAATGAGAACGATCCCATAACAGAGAGAACTTAAGTCAATTTATAAATATACTATCCAGAGTTATGTTGCTTATAGTAAATAAAATGCATTAATGTACCAAACAACACAGCAGCTTGTGTGAGATTTTCTCTTTCCTTGTGAATCATTTTCAAGTAGTCTCTCTTCAGAAGCCTCAGAATGAGGCGATTCTAACAGGACAGCGGCATAGAAATATGACTGGAACCCTGTTCATCCTACACAAACACTTTAAGATACCTGGCATCTAAAGTTCAATTGGTTGCTGGATCCCTGCACATAACCTGAGAATGAATATTTCATTTGAGTAGCTAAACCTAAGTGAGAAGTTACAAACAAGGTCACAATTTGTACTTGGAAGCTTGTAATAAGGACTAGTGTACTTAGCTCCTTATTTGGGTTGTTTGTACTGAGCTCACACGACTTTAGTAGTCTGCAGTGCTAAAGTGATGGTATAAGCACAGAAGATATGCTATGGGGCGGAGATCACTAGTCCAAAAGGATGGGAATGTAATGCAATGGGTACAAAGGTGATTTGTGGGAAGACTTAAATCCATTATACACTGAAATATCTGTGAAAAGGAGCCTGAAAGACAAGCATTTCTCAATATATGATCTGAGATATCAGACAAAAGTTCTAACAAAATTAATAAAAAAGAACTTTACCCAGAAAAATAGGAACATTTCACTAAATTTGGGAAAGCACATTATATCAATAAAGAAATATCCCTGACTGTCAAATAATCTCAAGGCCTCTCTCTTCCTGGTTCTAGCATATCATGGCTGATAAACCCTGTAAAGCTCTTTGATAGTCAGGAGTTCACAGGTCTGGATAAGGTAGACAACAGATTTCACAAATGGTGCTTATCTTTCTTACAGTGGACAAAACAGCATTCTCAAATGTATCAGCTCATAAGCCTGAGAACGTTTACTCTATCAGTTTCCCAAGGAATAAGAAAAGTGTCACTCTCAGTATCTGAAATTGTTGACAGTATGTGAAAGATCTTAGATAATCCAGGACATGACATAAAGTCTCATTTATCACAAGGTGAATAAGCAATTCTCTTTTCAATATTTTCAAATGTGACTACATCAAGGAAAAAAATCTGTGATCCATCACACCTGAGGGGAGAATCAAATACTACCCAAAATTAACAATGATGTAAGAAAATAAAAATAAATAAATACATCTAATATAGTAAATAAATAAATGGCTCCACATAAAAAAGATTTAAAAAGAAACTTATCTGAACTAGGCTATAGGCTATAGGCTGTCCTGAACACTTTGTTATACTCCTTTTCTAAAAAGATAATGAAGGGTTGAGGTGCTGAGATGTGTGAAGACTGTGGATATGGAGAAAATTCAATAATGTTGTTTTCATTTATTTATTTTCACTTCTATTTTAAAGCAAATAGAACTGGTTTCATTTTGCAACACTGATACCCATTTTCTCAAATGTTTAAGCCAAACAATGAATCAATTTAGAATAAAACTATTAAATAAGTAGTATTGGTAGTTTAAGGATGTGGTTAAAAACTATTTGGCTGGTACATAAAATTAAGTACACAATTTTTAGACTATTTCTACGACATGATGCCTACTGAATATTTTTAAATGCTGGAATTACATTTTTTAATCAAGAATCATCTGAATGAGATTTTTTTCTTTAATGGGGTAAAATCCAATCATTTAAGTGATTCTGACATTTGCTTGCTTTGTTGAAACTCTAATGAAGGTCATGACGCAGAGGGAGATGGACTAAACAAGGCTCTCTTCAAGAATGTCAGAAACGACATGATTGAGTGAACACAGCTCTACTCCTCAAGTCAAGGACTCTGAAGCACCATGTAAACGTTTCTTGGGCAGTAGAGGATGTGCCAGTCCTGAAGGGAGAAAGCCACAGAGGCCCTTTGTATGTTCATACAAAGAGCAAAATACTTAGTGAGAATTGTAATATTCCCATCTACTGGCTGGAGTCCATGTGAAATATTCACTGGAAACTTCCGCGGCTGTTGCTTTCTTGGGGCTGCTGGAACTTTTGTTCCTTCATAAATCTTCTTGGTGTAACTACAGAATAACCATAAACACTTCCCTGAATTGATGTCTTTATAACTCTAATGAAACTTGTATCTATGCTTTATGTAAAATATTCCATACTTCCAATTTAAATGTTCTTACAAGAAGAAGTTGATGTAAGCCTTGAAACCAAAAGAAAAAAATGAAGTATATCTATAGATGGGTTTCTTCTCTCTGGGTTTTGGGCCTTTGGTGATATGTTACAGATGTCTTGGCCTCATGAGCTAAATGATGGGAGTTGAGGAAATTCCTTTGCTTCTAATACTTCATATTTGAGACTATTACTGTATTTGAGGCAATAATATGGTTGGTCATCTGACTGGAATTTCTCTTTATTGGAAGAAGCCAAACAAACTCTGAATCACCAAAAGGCTATATATCTGCAGATTAAACAATAGGTTGCAGGTTAAACAATAGCTCAATTCACCTGGCATTTTCCTTACTCATTTCTTGTCTTACATAACTACTATATTTGCAAATGACAAATAATATATTAGAAAATTGCATATAGAGAAAAAGCAAAAAGTATCAGCAGTTACTTGTGGTTTTGTCAGCGGAAAGTTGATTTATAAATTAGTTGATATATGATCACATTCTATTATTCTTTAACATATAAAAATGGAGCAAAGTATTAAATTAATTTAAATATCACAAATGTCTGAACACCAAGTTGACTTCAGTGAGAAATTACTAAAATTAGTTTTTTTGAAACCTACTTTTCTGAAGAGAATAATATCACAAAATACCATCAATAATGTTTTTCTCAGGTTTCTTGTAAAAAAAAATTTATTCCTTTTAATTAAATGCTTTTTTTCTGAATGGCTTTGTTTGAAAATGTTAGGTAATAGTATGAAAGAATAGTACCAAGAATGTACTCATTCCACTGATTACTAAAATGGGGAATGGAAGAGAATTGAGTGATATTTATTTATTTTACAAATAAATATTGAGAATGAACAAATGAACCAATTGATTCCAATAATGGGAACTTTGTTGGAACATTATATATCGCTTCCCTGAGAATGTTTCAAACTTCTGGTTGTAAAATACATAAGTTGTGAAGATATAATGGATAGCATGGTGACTACAGTGCATAATACTGTATTGCATATTTTAAGGTTGCTAAGAGAGTAGAAGTTCTTATTTAAAAATGTGACTATGTATGCTGACAGATGTTAACTGGTGTTAACATGGTTATCACGTAATGACATATTTAGATATTGAATGTCAGAAACTAATACAAAGTCATAGACCTAAAAATAAGTTTGCACCCACAAAAATATAATTTTCATCATATATAAATATACAAGACAAATATAAAAGATAATGATTTCTTACCATTCTTTTGCTTATCGGTTCTATTAGTAACAGGCATGTTAGTGGTGACAGTGGGTGGTGTAGAATTAGAAGAATTTACAATAGCTGGTAATAAAGATGAGAAAGAAGTAATTTTGCAAGGAGCACATGACAGTTAATATGGATAAGAAATCTATAATTAATTCATGAACATATATAGAGGAAGATGGAAATCATTCTTATCATTAAATGAAACAAGGTTATAATGCATAAAAAGAAGCAATGCTTTCTATGGCACATTAAGAATTAGTTCACATGGCCTTTGCATACTGGACAAGGGTCTGGAGCTGGCACAAGGGGCAGGAGAAAAAAAATTGAAGTAGACCTAGGTTTGCTTTTAACAGGTTGATGACCACATCTCAAATTATTAAATCTTTCTAGAGTTGAGTTTCTTTAGTTAAAAACAAATAAAAAATCTTATGTTATCAGATTAAAAATTATCTAAACTAAGTCAGTCTCTCTGAAAATAGAGAAATAAAATATGAGAAGAAAATGTATTGCTTTTTGAGAAGATAAATGTAAAGAAAAATGAAAGATTGAAATGTATAGCCTGAATCAATTATTTAAAGGTCCCCAAAACTCTGATAAACACTGATGCATAAAATAGATTTATTAGGGGTCCTCCCCGGTGGTGCAGCGGTTGAGCGCTGGGTTGCGAAGCTGCCCGCAGCCTCTGCAGCACCGGTTTGATTCCCGGCTGCTCCCCGGCCACCGGAGGAGGGTTCCACATGGCACGCAGACCTCTCCTGCTGCCCACTGCTCCCCTCAGCAGTGCACTTCGGTCCTTCTGCCTGCTCTGCTCCCCGCTCTGGCTCTGGTGAATTCTCTCACCCTCCCGCGCTTCTGACTGTACCCAGTGCTTGTATAAATAAATAAATTAATAAATCTTTAAAAAAAATAGATTTCTTAGGGGCAAGTCTGATAGGATTCACAGTTATACTTCTGATAGTATTAATACTCAAAGATTAAAGTCTTATGTAATGCTTTGATAATAACTTTCTAAGAGATTCTGGAAAAGCAACATAAGCAGTAAAATAACTATACAGAGAATTTTTATTTCATTTTTTGTATTTTTATTAGATATAATCTCATGTGTAATGAACTTCCATTATTTATCTTTTTAATGATTTCAAATATTAAAACATTTAAGTGATTATGCAGAGAAATACTTCCTAAATGCTCTTTAGATTTTACTTAATTAAAATATACATCCTTAGATAAAACAATTTTCCATTCCAAAAGTACTATATAATTCTTAAGAATGGGGATTTTTCTTTAAGTCTTTCTTTTAATTATGACCAATTCTCTTAACGCAAAATCATTAAGAGAAAAATGCGAAGTCATCAGTGAACATGAAAATGCTTTTTAGTCATTTAGGACATGAAGGAATAAAAGCTCAACTTCTAGTTCTATGACCCAAAGATTCAGTACTGTAGATAAATTAAAAGAAAAAAAAACTAAAATTAAAATTAAAAAATCTTCAGATCTGAAACTAAGCAAAATTCAGTATTTATTTTCAATTTCATATATTTTAAAACTACACTGAGTTCATGAAAAGAAATTACTTAATGACTTTTTTTTCATAGGATATTCAATGAAACAATATCAAGAAATAATGTCTCAAAATAGAAAGAGACAGTAATGACTTGTACCATTTCTCTCTGCAACCTGGAACCACAGAGGAGAGCTTAGTTTCCGTTCAGTTACTCTCATTCTAGTCTGTGTCACTTTCACATTATGATCCCCTTAAGAGATCCAACTTTTACAAAAGGCATGGTCATCATTCTTAATGTGGCACATAGCACATGCTACTCCATAAAGAAAGTGTTTAATAGATTAATGGATGAAAATGGTAATTAGGCAGAGCAATGAAAAATTAAAACAAAATATTCACATTATTTTAAAACTTATGAGACTTCTACTATATATTATTAAGCATGCAACTACTTAGTACAGAATTGAAATGCTGACCATAATATAGTCATTATGCATTAAAACAATTAATAAAATTACATTAATATTAGTTTAGTATAATCACTCTTAATATTTGTCATTATCTATCATCAATTGCTTCATGGCCTTGTCTTTAGCTTAGCTGAAGATTTAACTGAGTTTTTCCCGTGAGTTTTTAGAACATGAATATGTTTTAAAAAATATGGAACGAATGTCTTTATACTGGATCTTTGCAAACTTGACAAGAAATAAAGAGTAAAAATAAAATCAACTCTTGTTTAATAGCATATAATCATTCACATTTGAAAACTCGGTATTTTACAGGGTTGTGGTCATCCAGTATGTGAAAACATTCTTTCTCCACACAGCATGTACTGTGCACCCACACAACTTAAACACTTCCAGAAATTCTTCTGTTTTCCTGGTTTCTAGCTTCTCAGCTGAATATTAAGATAGATATCAAAACAATGACAACAACTGTATCCAAAATAGCAAGTAAGAAACAGACTCCAGAGGATGACGTTGGCTCCCTACCTTGGCAGAGGGTCCCCAAATCTGCACAGTTGACAAGTTCTGCTGCTGGGAACGGTATCAGGTAGGAACCTTGATGGACACAGAGTGATTATACAAATTTAACTTATGGCTTAATGATATAAACCATAAAGAAAATCATGAATTATATGGCACCCCAGAAGAGTCCGCTGGTTAATAATCCAACATCAAGAGAATCTATTAAGTCTTTGTGTCTTACTTCATGCAAATGTAAAGTCAAGTTAATAAAATTTCTTTCAAGACCTTTAACTCAATTTATAGATCATAACCACAAATGACAGGAAAAGAAGTGCTATTGTCCTTTAAAGTTTGTATAAAAAGTTCTAGGCTGGGCCTCCCCTGGTGGCGCAGCAATTGAGCAGTTGGCTGCGAAGCTGCCCGCAGCCTCTGTAGCACCAGTTCAATCCGCGGCCGCCGGCAAAGGTCCCACATGGCACGCAGACCTCTCCTGCCGCGTCCGCTGCTCCCCTCAGCAGTGTATTTCATCAGTCTGCCTGTTCTGTTTCCCTCTCTGTCTCTGGTGAATGCTCTCACCCTCCCGTGCATCTGGCCTGTACCCCAATTCTTGCATAAATAAATAAATCTTTTAAAAAATGGTTCTAGGCTTTCTGCATCATGAATAACTCGACTCTCATGGAAATTCATATAAATGAAATAATCAAAATTAAAGATAAGTTTCAAATAATGCACATATCAAAGGTAAGATATTAATAGCATTCAAGCTAATAACATGCAAATTTTCAGTTCATAGGCATTAGTTTATGCTATTTGCCATGCCAGAATTTGTGTCTGATTTCAAATTAGTCTCTATGCTTTCATATTTCAAACTTTTACTGATTCATTGGGGTAGGAAACAAGTTTTGAAATAATTTTCCTTGCAGGAGTGGTGAATTGTTTCTGTCATACTAAATCTCCCTTTGATGTATAACAGACTTTTATACAGGTTGAGTTTGATGGAAACAGGCTAAACTTATGAAAAGCATACTGCACTATAAATCAACACAGAATCATAAATTCACAGGAACAAAAATATATACACCTACACAAATACATATATTTAATTGTAGAAGGACATTTTTATAATAGTTATTCCATTCTAATCCTTAAACATTTTCCAAAATTTCCCATGGGAATAGTAAATACATGAAGACAGATCATGCACATGAGCAACAAGAGAGGGTAAACAGTACGCAGACACGGAGAATATCCCCACAGTGTAACAGAACATCAGGCTCATGGTTTCTTTATTCTTGATTGCCTCATGCATCTGGCCCAAGGAAGGAATCATGCTACCTCGCAAAGACCTAACCCTACAGGCATGTCGGTGATGCAACTGACAAGAAGCTCTCATACCAGACATTTACATGTTCATTCAATAAACATTTACTCACTGTTAATGACACAGAGGCTAAAATAAAGCTTTAAGACAATGTCACTGTTCTCAGAGAGGCAGAAATGGAAGATGGAGTCACAGTTCCCGGAATGCTGTATGTGAAGTGCTTAATCCATCATGGAAATGATGGACTCCAGAATGCCAACATTTGACTGAAGGGTGAATGGAGAAAGAGGAAACATGGCTATCATTCCACCAAATTTTCTTTCTAGCTTGAGTGATCCCAGACACATCTATAGATCCTGTGGAGTATTTCCTGGCTAGGCCTTTTACAAAAACATATACACCTGTGCATGTATCCAGAAATCATCTCCAAAGAGGAAGGTGATCAGTGGCTGATGAGAAGGGGGGACAGGAAATGTACTACAAGGAAGAAGAGCTGTGAGGAATATGGGGGTCATTATATTGATCAGGGGGTAAAAGACTAGGGACAGGTATTGCTAAGAGACAGAATTACAGAAACAGACACCAAGAAGGCAAAGAGAAGGGCTGGGAAACCAGCTGACATGGCATTATGGGAACAGGGTATTCATCGAAAATTGATAGGAATGATCAGCTATATCAGATATAAGTCCTGGGTAGGCTGTGGAAAGCCCTGTAAAACGTAGGCAGTGTGAGTGCTGGGACTCTGTGCCTTTCTTCCACTGGTGTATCACACACACTCTGCAGGTGGGTCAGACTTTACTGAATAAATTACTGAATGCATTATGAACAACTGCGAACATTTTGAACTCTTAAAGAAAATTCTAAAATAAAATTAAAGGAATTTAGATGAGAAAATTATATGTAATTTGAAAACATGTTTGAGGCTCCCTAACCAAGTAAAAGAAAGGAGATACAGGACCTCCCTGTTGGCGTAGGCAGTTGAACGCAGCACTGGGAAGGTGTCCGTAGCCTCTGCAGTGCCGGTTCGATTCCCTTCAGTCCCAGAGCAGCCCACATCGTGAGGCAGACCTCTCCTGTCTCACCCGCTGCTCCCCTCTGCAGTGTATTTCAGTCATTCTGCCTGTTCTGTTCCCCACTCTGTCTCTGGTGAATCCTCTCACCTTCCCGCACATCTGGTCTGTACCCTGGTTCTTGTATAAATAAATTTAAAAAATCTTTTTTAAAAAAAGGAGATACAAGAAACATACATATTTTTCTTTTTCCTTCTGGCTTATTTCACTGAGCATAAAAATATCGGATGGTTTCACTCACAGGAGGAATGTGGGGAAACCAAATAAGGGATCAGGAAAAAAGTAATTATAATAAATCAAAAAACAAAATTAACAGGCAACTATTAATCAGAGACACTCTGCAGGGGAGGGGAAGAGAGAGAGTTCAAAACAGAGGAGGGAATGTGTTCTTACACAAGGGACTATGGTGATGGTGCACAGGCAAATTGGTGGTGGGAATTTTGTGGGGACTATACTTAAAAAGAGAAAGCATGCATTGTACAAAAAGGAAGAACAGTGTAATATATATATATATATATATAAATAAAATTTTAAAAAGAGAAACATAAATAATGCTAAAGATTCAGACTTGATATGAGTACAATCAAGATGGACAGAAAGATATTAAAAAGATATCATGCATTTGAAAATAGAATATATAGAATTAGAGAATGGGAGACCAGGGAAAGAAAGGGAATAATAGAGTGCTTTTCTGGTTTCCAACTTAAGAAACTGGCACATAATGATATCAGTAAAGGAGATATGAAATACTGGAAGCAGAGCAAACTTAAGTGAGAGGGGAAAACAGAAAATCCAGTAATAGGAACTCAGGTTCCTGTGCGACTTTCTGGATACATGCACAGGTGTATGAGTTCTTGTAAAAGGTCTAGCCAGGAAATACTCCACAGTAGATGTGTCTGGGATCACTCAAGCTAGAAAGAAAATTTGATGGAATTATAGCTATTCCTATATTTAAGATTCAGATTTTTAAAAAAATCTCCAGATTTGGGGTGGTAAGAATAGTTCTTATAGAAATGGTCTTGCAGAATTCAAGTGAAGAAATGTTTATGGAGGTGACCCTTGTAAGTGTACTAGAAAGATCCAGAATGATAAAGACTGAAAAGATCTTTCCCTATGCATCCAAATTTTGGTAATTGATCTACAGAATTTTTTTCAGTATCGTGGAAATGATGGACTCCAGAATGCCAACATTTGATTGAAGAGTGAATGCAGAATGAGGAAACGTGGCTAAGAAAGAAGTAGAGCTAGGGAGGGGGAGTTCTGAAGGTTGAAAACTTAAACAAGTACATGAAGGCAAAACGCATTTGAGGAGGTAGAAGTTGAAACCAGACTCAGACAAACTAATGTAGAAATCATCTTGCATGTTTTCTGCTCATTAGTCTTCCCTAACACACTTAACTATGTTCCCCTCATGTAGGACGTCCCTTACCTTTCCTCTAGTTATTTCTGTTTTAGTAAGAGATTTGTGAAAACTAAAAAGCCTTTAAAACTCAAAATGACTGACAGCATTTCAGCCACTGTGACATGCAAGAGGGGGACCCTGGGACACAGATCCTGTGCTTCTTACGTTGCATACAGTGTTGGCAGTTAAAGGCTACTTAGGGCACTTCTGGCACTGATACAGTATCTCTAGAAGACAAACGGAGATAAGGGGGCAGTATTGTGGGAAAGGAGCTTTTAGGTTAACTGCATTTCCACTGCACTATATTACAGAGCTTAGAGGTAGAGATAAGAAAATAGAAGTTATGATTTAGATAAGATATTTAAGAAATCCTTTAAAATTTCATCAGTTTCACTGCAGGGTAACAATTACAAATTTCAAGAGGTAACACCCTTTTCATGGGAAACTAACATTTACCTCTTGACACTTAAATTATCAGTTGTTCCTTTGTGAGCATTTTTAGTTTGGCAAATTGACACTGCTTTATAAATACTCAATAAATATTAATTTATAATAATTCAATATAGGAGCAGAAATTAAATTTGAAGATTATTTCAGTGAAAATGGTAAATATGAAAGTAATAAATTTAATTAGGAGACTATATTAATAAAGGAAACCTTACTTTACAAATATACCAAATTACATTAACAGATACATAAATCATAAAAATTGTACATAAACTTTTTGTTTCTACCTAGTTCTATTTTCAGCATTTGCAGAAAAATGTCACACAACCCATCAATTTTCATAGGTAGAAAGATTTCCAAACCAGGAGATTGTGAAGGAAGAAAAGACAATCTTCTCTCCTGAATAATAATGTATCAGGAGTATCCTAGTATCCTAATACTAGGATAGTAAAAATAAGGAATCATTTTCAGAGTGTATGTTCACTAATTTTTGTGGATACCACAAAGGTGTTTAAAGATTATTTACTTAGCATTAACTGCAAAGGTTTGAGCCAAATTTCCTTTAAAAATGTAATCACTGAAAATGGGCAGTTGATGAAAGCTTATAAAGCTGTTAATCTTTCTTTTCTACCTGTTGTTCTTCCAAAATCTTGTTACTGAGTCACTGCTTATTTATACAAGTTGTGGTAAAAAAAGATTAATGTGTAGCCAACAACTCACCTCACACCCTACTTAATGATCATCTAAATAACACAGCATTAAACCAGTACAGTGAGTTGCAGTAATGGGGAAAATAATAATTCATTTCAATTCCTTTTTCTATAATTGTACTAAATTGAATTTTAGAGTTTTC